CTCCATTCACTCCTATCAAACACGCTCACGCATGCCTGCTGGAAGTCCAAGCCCCTCGCACACAAAACCTCCTTTACCCCCTCCCTCCAACCCTTCCTAGGCTGACCCCTACCCCGCCTTCCTTCCACTACAGACTGATACACTCTTGAAGTCATTCTGTTTCGCTCCATTCTCTCTACATGTCCGAACCACCTCAACAACCCTTCCTCAGCCCTCTGGACAACAGTTTTGGTAATCCCGCACCTCCTCCTAACTTCCAAACTACGAATTCTCTGCATTATATTCACACCACACATTGCCCTCAGACATGACATCTCCACTGCCTCCAGCCTTCTCCTCGCTGCAACATCATCACCCACGCTTCACACCCATACAAGAGCGTTGAGTAAAACTATACTCTCATACATTCCCCTCTTTGCTCCAAGGACAAAGTTCTTTGTCTCCACAGACTCCTAAGTGCACCACTCACTCTTTTTCCCCTCATCAATTCTATGATTCACCTCATCTTTCATAGACCCACTCCGCTGACACGTCCACTCCCAAATATCTGAATACGTTCAACCTCCTCCATACTCTCTCCCTCCAATCTGATATTCAATCTTTCATCACCTAATCTTTTTGTTATCCTCATAACCTTACTCTTTCCTGTATTCACCTTTAATTTTCTTCTTTTGCACACCCTACCAAATTCATCCACCAATCTCTGCAACTTCTCTTCAGAATCTCCCAAGAGCACAGTGTCATCAGCAAAGAGCAGCTGTGACAACTCCCACTTTGTGTGTGATTCTTTATCTTTTAACTCCACGCCTCTTACTGTTCACATATATGCTTCAATGTAAACACTTGATCTACACATCCCCTAACCATTCTAAAGCCTCCTTGCTCATCTGCAATCCTGCTCTCTGTCTTACCTCTAATTCTTTCAATAATAACCCTACCATACACTTTACTTGGTATACTCAGTAAACCTTTCTTCTTTCAACACACCGCCCGTATCCCACCGAGGCGGGGTGGCCCAAAAGGAAAAAACGAAAGTTTTTCCTTTTACATTTAGTAATATATACAGGAGAAGGGGTTACTAGCCCCTTGCTCCCGGCATTTCAGTCGCCTCTTACAACACGCATGGCTAACGGAGGAAGAATTCTGTTCCACTTCCCCATGGAGGTAAGAGGAAATAAACAAAAAAAAGAACTAGAAAGAAAATAGAAGAAAACCCAGAGGGGTGTGTATATATGTGCTTGTACATGTATGTGTAGTGTGACCTAAGTGTAAGTAGAAGTAGCAAGATGTACCTGAAATCTTGCATGTTCATGAGACAGAAAAAAAGACACCAGCAATCCTACCATCATATAAAACAATTACAGGCTTTCGTTTTACACTCACTTGGCAGGACGATAGTACCTCCCTGGGTGGTTACTGTCTACCAACCTACTACCTAGGACTCAGTAAACCTATTCCCCTATAATTTTTGCAATCTCTTTTGTCCCCCTTCCCTCTATATAAAGGAACTATACATGCTCTCTGCCAATCCATAGGTACCTTCCCCTCTTTCATACATTTGTTAAACAAAAATACCAAGCACTCCATCACTGTATCTCTCCTAGCTTTTAACATTTCTTTCATGACCTCATCAGTTCCAGCTGCTGTACCTCCTTTCATTCTGTGTAATGCCTCTTGCACCTCCCCCACACTCACATCCTGCTCTTCTTCATTCCTAAAAGATGTTATACCTCCCTGGCCAGTGCATGAAATTACTGCCTCCCCATCTACTAACTCCCCTACTCTGTTTTTAACTGATAAATGCTTTCGTTCCCAAGGCTTTCTTAACCTGTTTATCTCGCTCCAAAATTTTTGCTTATTCTCAGCAAAATGTCTTGATAAAAATTTCTTGTGGAGACTAAAATACATTATGTATGTAGGGAAAGAAGGAAATGTACGAGAGTATAGTGGTACAAGCACTTATGTGTGTGTGAAGCATGGGTTGTGAATGCTGCAGCGAGGAGGAGGTTGGTGGCAGTGGAGATGTTGTGTCTAAGGACAATCAGTCAATCAATCAATCAAGTTTATTCTCTATAAGGATTACAATGTGGGGTTTACAGATTTTGGATATTGTGTGGTTTACATGTTTTAAAATACTAATTACAGAGGGAGTCACTAGGACACCTAGCATGACTAGGCATTTCGGGCAGACTTGGATTAATTCTTAACTTTAAATTATTACAGATTATGGTATTAAGGCTAAGTGACTACATTATAGTTTGTGAGTTTAGCAATGTGAATGCTTTTGTTTTTGCACAATACATAGTGTCTATATTGGAGTATCATAGGCCAACTTATGACTAGTTAGGATTCATTATTTTAAGATTAAGATTCGTAATTTCTGTGTTTATAGTCATGGGTGAGTGAGTGTAAGTGTGAACCACCCGGTGGTTTTCATGTTATTATTGATGGGGTGTATCAGGGAGATAAGATGTTTTCTAACTGTAGTTTTGAAAGTGATGAATGTGTCTGCAGTTCTAGAGTTCTCAGGTATGGTGTTCCAGATTTTAGGCCCTTTGACACACATTGAATTTTTGTAAAGGTTTAGTTGGACATGGGGAATGTCATAGAGATGTTTGTGTCTGGTGTTATGCCTGTGGATCCTGTCACAACTATCAAGAAAGCATTTTAGGTCAAGGTTAATATTGGAATTTAAGGTCCTGTAGATATAGATTGCGCAGTAGTAAGTGTGGATGTTCTGAACAGGGAGTAAGTTTAGATCTGTGTGTGATGTAAACCCAATGCAGAGAATTCATTGTGTGGAAATTAGGGGGAGATGTGGAGTTACTGAAAACATTATTCAGAGTGCTGAAGAGGGGGGTGCTGAGGTGGTTTGGTCAATTAGAGAGATGGAGCAAAATAGGATGATGTGGAGGGTGTATAAATCTTCAGTGGAGGGGAGAAGGAATAGGGTTTGTCCTAGGAAAGAATGGAGGGAGGGGGTAAAAGAGGTTTTGTGTGCCAAGGGCTTGGACATGCAGCAGGCATGTGTGAGCATGACAGGAGTGAGTGGAGATGAATGGTTTTTTGGACCTGATGAGCTGTTGGATTGTGAGCAGGGTAATATTATGTGAGGGGATTTAGGGAAACCGGTTAGCTGGACTTGAGTCCTGGAGGTGGGAAGTACAGTGCCTTCATTTTAAAGGAGAGGTTTGGGTTATTGGCTGATTCAAGTGACATCTAAACTGTCGTATCTGGGCACCTCTGCAAGGACAGTGACTATGTATGAATGATGGCAAAAGTGTTTCTTCTTGGGTCACCCTGTCTCATTGGGAGATGCACATCATGTTAAAAAAGAAAATTCCCAAGGTAGGGTGTTTTTAAAAGGAGGAAACATTCTCCATCGTTCATTCAGTCTCTGCCTTGCCAGAAGCATGCTGACATCACTGTTCACATGGCCCTCCAAACTGCAACATCCTCACCCCTTTTTCAGAGTGCAAGCACTTTATCTCCCATTTCCAAGACTCAAATCTAGCTAACTGGTTTTCCAAATCCCTTCATAAATGTTACCTTGTTTACTTCAACAGGATATCAATTTATATATATATATATATATGAAAAAAAAACTCTGATCAGACAGGCTCACAAGGCTGCTGGATTTCAAGTCCCTAGCATGAAGCCTCCTTTACCTTCTCCTCCTAGCCCTTTTTGGGGATGACCCCTACCCCACCTTCCCTCTTCTTGTGGTTTATGTGCCCTCCTAGTCATCCTATTTTGCTCCATCCTCTCTAAATGCTCAAACCACCTCAACTTCCCTCCTCAGTCCTTTGAATTATACTCTTGGGAACCCCTATACCTTTTAATTTCCACACTCTGAATTCTAACAAAATATGCACACCACATCACCCTTAAACACAACATCACTGCCTCTAACTTCCTCAGTGCAACATGCCCACCCACTCAGCACCTGGACCAGATTCATGGAATTCTTTTTTTCATAGAGGAAGTGCAAAGTACCATTAGTATGAGCCCTCAGTATTCTGTGGAGAAAGATCCTTGACCTAGGTGACATACCAGAGAAATTAAAGAATGCAGACATAGTTCCTTTGCATGAAGGAGGTAGTAGAGCACTAGCTGAAAATTACAGACCAGTAGCCCAAACTTCCCCCACATCATAAAAATTTTCAAAAAATGATGAAATGTCAGATTACAAACTCCATGGAACAGCACAATCTGCACAACCAACACAGTTTTAGAACTGATAAGTTATTGCACTTCTTTATATTTAATGAGTTAAATAGACAGAGGCATTCACTAGAAACTGTCAATATTTTTATTGTATACAGATTTTTTTTTTTTTACACGGCCATTTCCCACCGAGGCAGGGTGACCCACAAAGAAAGAAAAAACTTTCATCATCATTAAACACTTTCACCATTACTCATACATAATCACTGTCTTTGCAGAGGTGCTCAGATACGATAGCTTAGACGTCCCTCCAAACTGCCGATATCCCAAACCCCTCCTTTAAAGTGCAGGCATTGTACTTCCCATATCCAGGACTCAAGTCCGGCTAACCGGACTTTCGCTTTTATTCATATAAATTTGTAACATTTGTACTTGTATCAATGACAGGTGTAGCAGATTACCACACAGTTTGTGTGCACTGTAATAGATTGTTAGGTGTGTATCTTACTATTAAAGGTGTGAATTATTGAAGCACTGTTTTCTGCTTTACTTCTGAAATACTGTTTTTGTTTTACTTCAATATTTGGAAGTGTGGGATAGTTGCATTTACAGGGAAGTAGCAATGTATTTTGTGTTGCATTATATGTGTGGAAGCAACAGGTCTGCTCTGGAGGCTGCTAGTCTGCTCAGCAGGTTGCATCTTTCAGAATATTGATCACTGTGGACTTAATGGATTTTTTAAAGCTTGCAAAGTTTGAACCATTATTACATACCCCATTGTTTGTTGATTTACTAACAGTTATATAGTGCGTCTTTGACATGTCTGTTTACAGGTAATGCTTTTAACTGGTGAGGGTGGGCGGTTAAAGCGAAATGTTCCCCTTGTTCAGGGTCGTGACTTTGTGCTTGTTCCTGATTCTCTATGGAAAGCTCTTCAACAATGGTATGGAGGAGCACCTGCCCTTCCTAGACAGGTGAGGCTTATAAAAACATTTACATGTATATATTTTTTATTTATTAACACAAGCCAATTCCTACCAAGGCAGGGTGGCCCGAAAAAGAAAAACTTTCATCATCATTCACTCCATCACTGTCCTGCCAGAGGGGTGCTTTACACTACAGTTATAAAACTGCAGCATTAACACCCCTCCTTCAGTGTGTAAACACTGTACTTCCCATCACCAGGACTCAATCCGGCCTGCCAGTTTCCCTGAATCCCTTCATAAATGTTACTTTGCTCACACTCCCAACAGCACGTCATGTATTAAAAACCATTTGTCTCCATTCACTCCTATCAAATACGCTCATGCACGCTTGCTGGAAGTCCAAGCCCCTTGCACACAAAACCACCTTTACCCCCTCCCTCCAACCCTTCCTAGGCCGACCCCTACCTCGCCTTCCCTCCACTACAGATTTATACACTCGAAGTCATTCTGTTTTGTTCCATTCCCTCTACATGGCTGAACCACCTCAACAATCCCTTCTCAGCCCTCTGGATAATAGTTTTGGTAGTCCCACACCTTCTCCTAATTTCCGAACTACGAATTTTCTGGATTATATTCACACCACATATTGCCCTCAGACATGACATCTCCACTGCCTCCAGCCTTCTCCTCATTGCAACATTCATCACCCATGCTTCACACCCATACGAGAGATAACCTTGTCTTTCATATACCCATTTGCTGACAAAGCTACTCCCAAATACTTGAACTTGTTCACTTCTTCCATTCTCCCTCCCTCCAATGTGATATCTAATTTTTCTTTACCCTCATCACCTTATTCTTATCTGTGTTCACTTTCAACTTTCTTTACACTCCCTCCCAAACTCATCCACTAACCTTTGCAACTTCTCTTTAGAATCTCCCAAGAGCCCAGTACCATCACCAAAAAGTATCTGTCAACTCCCATTTTGTATTTGATTCCCCATAATTTAATCCCACCCCTCTCCTCAACACCCTAGCATTTACTTCTTTTACAACTCCACCTATAAATACGTTAACCAACCATTGTGCATTACACATCTCTGTCTAAAGTCAACTTTTACTGGGAAATAATCTCCCTCTCTCCTACATACCCTAACCTGAGCCTCACTCTCCTCATAAAAACTGTTTACAGCATTTAGTAACTTAATATCTGTTCCATACACTTGCAACATCTGCCACATTGTTCCCCTATCAGCCCTATCATATGCCTCTTCTAAATCCATAAATGCAATCAAAACATCCTTACCTTTATCTAAATATTGTTCGTCTACATGCTTTAATGTAAACACTTGATCAACACATCACCTACCCAGTCTACTGCCTCCTTGTTCATCTGCAGTCCTTCTCATTGTCTCACCTCTTAATTCTTAACTAGGAGAATCTTTGTTAAGCAAAGCTTACTTTGCTTGACATAGAATTACCTAATAAATGGTTTGCCAGGACTGTTATCCATTCCACAGCAGATTACGTGGACGTTATTGGGTGCTCATTATACAGCCAGTATAATTTTGATGCTTCAGTGTAATTTTACACATTGGTGCTCGTTTCTTCAACTAACTTTGATGAAACAGGTTATTCATGGACGATCTAGTGGAGAAGTGGAATTGGAGTTATACCCTGTAACACTACGGTTGTTCCGCCACGTGCAGCAGCAGACCAGAACACCAAACAATTCATGGGTTGGTGTTGTAGGTGGCTATGGGGCAGCAGCCTTAAGTAAGTTCACACAAAACTGAAGTTGCTTTTCTGTTGTATATTTGAAAATGTCACATATTGGAATGCTTAGTATGGGAGTGCTAGCGTATGCGAGGATTTCAGATTGCTGTAATAGTGCAAGCTGACATTTGAATATTATTTCAGCTTAACAAGTTTGATGCATCTTTCCTGTCTCACATCTTCAGATTCAGCTCCATATTATGTGACATCTTTACCACACTCCACATCATCCCCAAAGCGATATTTGGCATATTTAGCAGCATTTAGCCGCTTGGCAACTTTACGACAGGTATATGATTACTTGGCTACAAAATTACGATTACGCATCGAGGACATAAGGCTGTGGTATGTGCGTGATGAGGTAAGGAATGAATAGTCCACTTCAGTATCTTGTTGCATTTAGATTTTAACTTAACGTTTTGATCTAATTCATATTACAGGTCTCCCTCAACATTCACGAGGGTTAGGGGATCAAGAGCCTCGTGAATGTTGAAAAATCGCGAATGTTTGGTGTCCAAGTATATTGTAGGGAAATCTAATACAATACTGCTTCCTTAACCTATTGAACCATGAACAATCATAAAACACATGAAAACATCGTAAAATACTATGTATATACATACATGCTCCTTCCACTCATATACGTATTTGTCTAGACTCTTTTTAAAGCTACCCAAGGTCCAATCGAAGCTAAAATCTTGGGGAGTTTCAAATTTTGGTTGGATAAATACATCAGTGAGAGGGAACATTAAAATGGTATAAAATACCGGCAGGTTGTTAGGTAAGACACATATGCAACAGTTAGGTATCTTTATTTCGAAACGTTTCGCCTACACAGTAGGCTTCTTCAGTCGAGTACAGAAAAGTTGATAGAAGCAGAAGAGGCTTGAAGATGATGTAATCAGTCCATCACCCTTGAAGTTTTGAGGTGGTCAGTCCCTCAGTCTGGAGAAGAGTATTGTTCCATAGTTTGAAACAATATGGAGTTGAAGTGACAGGATGGAGCCTTATATACCACCAAGAGGCGAGATGTAGGCCACTAGTAGAGGTAAGAATGTAGTTGTTTGGAGGTCAGGTCCCTCTCAAATCCAGCCATTCTCACTAGTAGAAGTTGTCCAAGTTGATTTCAGGTCTGTACCAAGATACCCTTGTGTTGCTGTGTCTGGAGTGTACATTGCGTTCTCATTCTGGTTGGTTGTGTAGAAGTATACACCAGGCAAGAACTGGACTTCTTGTGAAGGAGCTGCGGTAGTACATAGGGATGCATCCCAAGGCTCTTGTGTTTTAACCTTCTTCGCTGATGGCTGAGACGATTAAGGTGAGGCGTCTGATTGGTCCGTTGTGACGGAGGTGGAAGCAGGTGCTGGTGGACTCTTATTGGTGGAATCAGTCGGCGTCTCAGTGGTCTCTGATTGGCCCATCTCTGTGTCGGGAGGAAGGTGTGGTAGCGGTGGAGCAGCGGTAATGTTGGCTACATTTGCAGTGGATTTTATGATCTCTGTGGAAGGTGGAGATGCAGGGAATGTGAAACCAGGCATGTCGTTGAGCTTGAAGAGTTCATTAATGGTGGTGTTGAAGGAACCAGGTTCAGCTACATTCTGCACACGAGCATACATGATGCAGTAAAGAATCTTGGTGGAGTCGCCAGCAAGAGCTGGCAAAGAAGTGGTAGGTGCAGCTTGCGTGGCTTGAAGAATCTTGGTAGTATCTGCTTGAAGCTTGGTAATAGCAGCATATGTAGTCGCTTGTACAGTTGTTTTTTTTTTTGTCGTTGGAGTTGTTTAAGTATATCTCATCTGGTTGGGCACTTGGCAGCAAGAGTATGGTGATCATTCTTGCAGTTCAAGCATTTAGGTGGAGAGGCAGTAGTGCACGTCTTGAAGTCATGACCTTCTTGGCCGCAGGTGGAGCAGAACTTCCTATTCTTGGCAGGGCAGTCTTTGGTGGTATGTAGGTATGAGTAACAGTTGGAACACTGTGGAATTTGATGGAATTTTTTGCTTCGATGAAGGCTGGATTGATGTGGAAGTAGTGAACAGCTAGTCCCTCAGCGAGAGCTCTGGCTGCCATGTTGACGTCACTGAAGGTAACCTTCAGCATGGAGGAGGTATTGGGTATTTTGGTAATGAATTCCACCTTGGCCCAAGGGTTCTGTGCTTCAATGGACAACTTGATTTCTTCGGTAGCCTGGGCAGTGATGAGCCTGTCGAGTCTCTTGAGGAACACAGTTCTCCTGGCCCTCAGAGCTGGGGAAGTCAAGACAATAAATCCCTGATCTCGTAGAGTGGTTGTAGCAATGGTGGTAATGAGTTTTTCAGCCTCGGTGTCGTCATTACAGATGACAACGAAGGCCTCTTTGAGCGACAGAATTGCATTAAACTTGACTTGCAGTCTGCCACTGATGACAGCTGCAAGTGCTAGCTTGGACGAGTCATTGACTGTCCCACTCTCTGGTTTGATCTTTACCCTGTTCGAGAAGTGCATCGTGAAGTGTGATCTACGTCTGCTATGAAGCAATGCTGTCGTGATATATGTGAATGAAACAATCTGAAGAAATAAGCGAGACTTATACTGTCGGAAGGAGAGGTGCAGGCTGGTAGAAGAGAGAATGTAGTCACTGAGAGGTCACGTCCCTCTCAGATCAAATGATTCTCACTTGAAAAAGTTGTCCGAGGTGTCTTCTCTTCTGTACTAAGATGCCTTTGTGTTGCAGTGTCTGACAGAGTGAATAACAAAATGGTATATAATACCAACAGGTTGGCAGTTAGGCGAAACGTTTCGAAATAAAGTTGCCTAACTGTTGCTCATGTGTCTTAAGACAAGGACCTGCCTTGTATGGGCCAGTAGGCCTTCTGCAGTGTTCCTCCATTCTTATGTTCTACCAGCCTGTCGGTATTGTATACCATTTTGATATTCACTCTGTCATACACTGCAACACAATGGCATCCTGGTACAGAAGAGAAAACACCTTGGACAACTTTTTCAAGTGAGAATCGTTTGATATGAGAGGGACGTGACTTCTTCTATCAGCCTGCACCTCTCCTTCTGACAGTATAAGTCTCCACACTGTTGGTTATTTCTTCAGATTGTTTCAGACTCCAGGCTGAGGGACTGACAACCACAAATCTACGACTTAAAGGGTGGACTAATTACATCATCTTCACATCTCTACTGCTCCTGCCTATTTTCTGTACTCGACTGAAGAAGCCTACTGTGTAGGCGAAACGTTTTGGACTAAAGTTGCCTAACTTTTGTCCATGTGTCTTACCTACCAACCTGTCGGTATTGTATGCCATTTTGATAATCAGTAGGCCTGTTGGCCCATACAAGGCAGGTCCCTCAAAATCTATCACACTAACAGAATATTTTCCCAACTCAATTTTCAATGCTACCTAAGCAATAAGCTTTGATAATTCTATTTACTCATGTGCAAGTCCCACTCAAATCCAACACCTCCCACTCGTGTATTTGTCCAACCCAAATTTTAAACTACCCAAGGGTTTGGCACGTGAGTAAATGGAAATATCAAAGCTAAAACCTTGGGTTGTTTAAAATTTAGGTTGGATAAGTTCATGAGTGAAAGGGGTTGGATTTGAGCGGGACTTGCACGTGAGTAAATAGAATTGTCAATGCTTATTGCTTGGGTAGCGTTTATTCTGTTGGTGGGTTGGATTTGTGAAGGACCTGCCTAGTATGGGAAATCAGGCATACTGCAGTCTTCCTCCTTTCTTATGTTTGTATGTTCTTATAACTATACTAGGCAGACTGTTCCACTCATCAGCCTAAGAACATAAGAAAGGAGGAATACTACAGTAGGCCTGTTGGCCTATACTTGGCAGGTTCTTCACAAATCCAACCCACTAACAGAATAAATTTTACCCAAGCAATAAGCTTTGATAATTCTGGAAAGGATAATTCTACTTACTCATGTGCAGGTCCCACTCAAATCCAACCCCTCTCACTCATGTATTTATCCAACCTAAATTTTAAATTGCCCAAGGTTTTAGCATAGATAGGACCTTGGGTAAAGGTATGGGGACTGTTGTGGAAGGCTTCCTTGTAAAGAACATTGTGATGGGGAACTGAGACTGTTTCTTCATGTTTACAGAGTTTTGTTGGGAATTATTACTGTCATGAGGGACATGGTTATTAAACAGATAGACAAACTGAAGCAAAATAAGTCCCCGGGACCCGATGAGTTGTTTTCCAGGGTACTTAAGGAATGCAAGATGGAGCTTAGTCAGCCATTAACGAGTGTTTAATGCGTCCATCCTTACCGGTGTTGTGCCAGAGTTGTGGAAGATGGCTGATGTGGTTCCTATATTCAAATCAGGGGATAAGTCCACTCCTTCAAATTACCGTCCAATAAGCCTGACATCTATAGTGGGCAAGTTATTAGAATCAATTATAGCTGACATTATTAGAAGTCACCTTGAAGAGCATAACTTGATAAATGAATCTCAGCATGGATTCACGAGAGGTCGTTCCTGCCTGACAAACTTGCTGACGTTCTTCGATAGAACATTTGAGGCAGTTGACAGTGATGAATATGATATTGTTTATTTGGATTTTAGTAAAGCCTTCGATAGAGTACCTCACAGGAGACTCTTGAAAAAAGTGGCAGTTCATGGTATAGGAGGTAAAGTTCTAGCATGGATAGAGGCATGGCTTACCAATAGAAAGCAGAGAGTTACCATTAATGGAATGAAATCTGAATGGGGATTAGTCACTAGTGGCATTCCACAAGGATCAGTTTTAGGCCCTCTCTTGTTCATAATTTACATTAATGACCTTGATGAAGGGATTACGAGTGACATGAGTAAGTTTGCTGATGATACAAAGATAGGCCGTATAATTCACTCTGAGGAGGATAGCAATGAACTCCAGGAGGATTTGGACAAATTAATGTCCTGGTCTGAAAAATGGCAGATGAAGTTCAATGTTGATAAGTGTAAGGTACTAGCCCTTGGTAATGAAAGTAACCCTCGAAGCTATAATCTAGGTGAAGTAGAGCTTGATCAAACAGAATGTGAAAAGGACCTGGGAGTCATGGTGAGCAGAAATCTAAAGCCAAGACAGCAGTGCCTTAGTGTGCGCAACAAGGCCAACAGATTACTTGGATTTATCTCAAGAAGTATAAGTAACAGAAGTCCAGAAGTTATTTTACAGCTCTATACATCACTAGTGAGGCCTCATTTAGATTATGCTGCTCAGTTTTGGTCCCCTTACTACAGGATGGTTATAGACTCATTAGAGAACATACAGAGAAGAATGACTAAAATGATTTACTGTGTAAGGAACCTCCCATATGAAGATAGACTTAAAGCCTTAAATCTCCACTTTCTGGAGAGGCGTAGAATGAGGGGAGATATCATTGAAGTGTATAAGTGGATGACGGGCGTAAACAAGGGAGATATTAATAAAGTACTGAGGGTGTCAAACCAGGTAAGAACCAGAAATAATGGATTTAAGTTGGATAAATTTAGATTTAGAAAGGACATAGGTAAGTACTGGTTTTCTAACAGAGTTGTAGATGCGTGGAACAGTCTTCCTAGTGGGGTGATAGAGGCTAGGACCTTGGGTAGCTTTAAGAAGGGACTGGACAAATATATGAGTGGGAGGGGCTGGGTTTGATTGGTGTCATTGGGTACGGGAGTCATTTCTTGGGTAGCTTTAGGTAGAGGTCGTTTTGATAAGGACCTGCCTCGCGTGGGCCAGTAGGCCTTCTGCAGTGTTCCTACATTCTTATGCCTCTATCAATGTCCCCAACATAAATATGATTTGGCGGTTGGGAATTCGCGAATGTGTGAAGCCCGCGAAGTTGAAAACGCAAATGTTGAGGGAGACCTGTATTCTGTATCTTTCACATTAATACTTTGAGCTGTTATTCCTCACTTCCTTAAGAAATAACTCTGGAGAGACGTAGAATGAGGGGAGATATCATTGAAGTGTATAAGTGGATTACGGGTATAAACAAAGGAGATATTAATAAAGTACTGAGTTTGTCGAACCAGGTAAGAACGAGAAATGATGGATTTAAGTTGGATAAATTTAGATTTAGAAAGGACGTAGGTAAGTACTGGTTTTCTAACAGAGTTGTAGATGCGTGGAACAATCTTCCCAGTTGGGTGATAGAGGCTAGGACCTTGGGTAGCTTTAAGAAGAGATTGGACAAATATATGAGTGGGAGGGGCTGGGTTTGATTGGTGTCGTTGGGTACGGGAGTTATTTCTTGGGTATCTTTAGGTAGAGGTCGTTTTGATGAAGACCTGCCTTGCATGGGCCAGTAGGCCTTCTGCAGTGTTCCTCCATTCTTATGTTCTTATGAGATATAGTTTCTCTGTTTTAATTGCTCATTGTCCTGAAACTGTAATATAATTTCCTGGGGTCATGTCTACCCACTGAATGTATTACCATGTACCTTTAAGCCTTTTATTTTTAAGTAAACTTTTTTGCAAATATTTTATGATTAATAAAATACAGTATGTCACATTTCTTGATACATGTAAATTTAATTTTTAGTGCAAATATCCTTCACCTGTATCATAGATGTACCCCAGTAAACACACAATCACAGGCTATTCATACCTTATTGTATGTGCCCATGTGCCCCTCCCAGTGCTTCCCAAAATTTCTTTTAGCTACAATATTATGTTAAAAATTTTTTTAAAGTTTTTTTCTTTGGGGAGGGGGCTCTTATTGCCTACTTTATGTATGATTTACTTTTATGTGCTTGTCTTACAAAAGTAAACATAAGCAAATGTCTGAATAGCAAATACCACTAAATTACTAAGTTTAAATCAAACTATGTGCCTTATTGTTTAATGAGTGTGTGCTGCCCTAGTAGGCACATTACATTCATGATAATATAGTACAGTGGAAAAAGAAATTGAAATAACAACTCTTTGAAAGTTTTTTTTATGCTTTTATCTATATTTGACTCATCTACAGCCTGCGGGTATGATTTTGCTGGAAGAAGAAGATACAACTTTGGAAGAAGTTTGTGTTGCTGATCTTGCTCAGGTATTAATTGAAGTGAGAAATAAAGACCTCACATGGCCAGAAGAAATGAGTCAGATTGCTTCCACCAGATTGATGCGCACACAGTCCAGTCAAGGTTGGTACCCCAACTTTTATCTCAAATTTCTAAATAGGTTTTATTTTATTTAATCCTTTGGGGGTTTCGGCCGTACTAGTACGGCTTACGCCCCAGGGTTTTTGACGTACTAGTACTAGTAGTAGGTTGGTAGACAGCAACCACCCAGGGAAGTACTACCGTCCTGCCAGATGACTGTGAAACAGAAACCTGTAACTGTTTTGCATGATGGTAGGATTGCTGATTTCTTTTTCTGTCTCATAAACACGCTAGATAACAGGGGATATCTTGCTACTCCTACTTACACTTTGGTCACACTTCACAGACACGCACATGTATATATATATATACATACATCTAGGTTTTTCTCCTTTTTCTAAATAGCTCTTGTTCTTCTTTATTTCTTCTATTGTCCATGGGGAAGTGGAAAAGAATCTTTCCTCCGTAAAGCTTGCGTGTCATATTGTGGCGGACTAAAATGCGGGTGCAATGGGTAGTAACCCTTCTCCTGTAGACATTTACTAAAAAAGAGAGAAGAAAACTTTATTAAAACTGGGATGCTTTGAAAATGTGCGGGATGTAGTTGCGGGGATGACATGAAACAGATGTATTGCTGATGTTATGAATGAAAAGAAGTTGGATGTCCTGGCCCTTAAGCGGAACAAGCTGAAGGGGGTAGGGGGAGTTTCGGTGGGGGAATAAATGGGATTAAATTGGAGTATATGAGTGCGAGTTAGAGCAAGGAAGGGGTGCAGTAATGTTGAAGGATCAGTTAATGGAAGGAGAAAAAGGATATGAATGTGTAAATTCAGAATTATGTGATTAAAGCTAAAGGTTGGATGCGAAAGTGGGGGTCTTAATAAAGCGTGTATGCCACCTGGAAAGAAGAGAGGAATGTAGAGGAGAGAGAGAGATTTTGGGAGATGTTAAAGTGAATGTATAGGAGCCTTTGAACAAGTGAGAGAGTAATTGTGGTAGGGGATCTGAAGCTAAAGTAGGGAGAAGTGGGTGCAGGAGGGAAAGAGGGAGCGATTGGTGGAATGATGATGTAAAGAGAGTAGTAAGGAGAGAAGAAAAAGTTAGCATATGAGAAGTTTTTTACAAAGTAGAAGTGATGCTAGGAGGGAAGGTATATGGAGAAATGATGAGGGTTATAAGAGAGTGGTGAAGCAATGTAAATGAGAGCCAATCGTGAGAGGGGGTGAGATGTTATCCACAAATTTTGTTTGAAAATAAGAAAATGTTTTGGTGTGAGAATTATACAAGTTAAGGAAGCCTAGAGACAATGGTTTGTCAGTTAATCAAATAGGAGAGGAGCGTTATTAAATGGAGAGTTAGAGGTATTGGGAAGATGGAGGGAATATTTGTGAATGTTAATGTTGTTGTAGATAGGGAAGCGTGATTTCGTGTATAGGGCAGGAGGAATAACATCTTGTAGAGTGAGGAAGAGCCAGTGTGTGAGTGTGGGGGAAGTTCGCGATTGCAGTAGGTAAAATGAAAGGGGGTAAGGCAAGCGGGTTTGATGCGATAAAGATAGAAATGTTAGAAGCAGGTGGGGCATATAGTTTTGGAGTGGTTGGTGAATTATTTAATAAATGTTTGGAAGAGGGTAAGGTACCTAGGGATTGGCAGAGAGCATGCATAGTTCCTTTGTACAAAAAGCGCAAAAGGGCACAAAAGAGAGTGCAAAAATTTATAGGGGGATAACGTCTGATTGAGTATACTGGTGTAAAGTGTATGGATAGAGTTTTATGAAAGATTTAAGAATAACACGGAGAATAGGATAGCAGATGAAAATGGAGGCTTAGGAAGGTAGGGGGTGTGTGGGACCAAGTGTTACAGTGAAAACTATAAAGTGAACAGTATTTAGATAAGGCTAATGAGGTCTTTGTGGCTTTATGGATTTGGAAATGGCGTTATTTGACAGGGGTGGATAGGGGGCAATCGTGCAGGATGTTTGCAGGTGTATGGTCTGTAGGTGGTATGTTATTGAAAGCAGTGAAGAGTTTTTTACACGAGGATAGTATAGTGGAGGCTCAGCTAGGAGTCATGTAGGAAAGAGGGAAATTATTTCAGTAAAGTAGGCATTAGACAAGGATGTGTGATGTCCCCCCCCCCCCCCCCCCCCCCCCCCCCCCCCCCCCCCCCCCCCCCCCCACCCCCCCCCCCCCCCCCCCCCCCCCCCCCCCCCCCCCCCCCCCCCCCCCCCCCCACGTGGTTGTTTAACATATTTTTAGATGGGGTTGTAAGAGAAGTAATGCGAGGGTCTTGGACAAGAGGCGTGGAGTTAAAAGATAAGATTCCACAAAAGTGGGAAGTTGACACAGTTGCTCTTTGCTGATGACACTGTGTTCTTTTTGGGGTGGGGAGGGGGGCATTCTCGAAGAGAAGTTGCAGAGATTGGTGGATGAATTTGTAGGTGTGCAAAAAGAAGAAAATTAAAAGTGAATAAAGGAAAGAGTAAGGTTATGGAGGATAACGAAAGGTTAGGTGATGAAGATTGGGATATCAGATTGGAGGGACGAGAGGTTTGGAGGAGGTGAATGTATTCTGATATTTGGGAGTGACGTGTCAGCGGATGGGTATAGGAAAGATGAGGTGAATCATAGAATTGATGAGGGGAAAAGGGTGAGTGGTGCACTTAGGAGTTTGTGGAGACAAAGAACTTTGTCCTTGGGGGGGGCAAAGAGGGGAATGTATGGAGTATAGTTTTACCAACGCTCTTATATGGGTGTGAAGCATGGGTGATGAATGTTGCAGCGAGGAGAAGGCTGGATGCAGTGGAGATGTCATGTCTGGGGCAATATGTGGTGTGAATATAATGCAGAGAATTCGTAGTTTGGAAGTTAGGAGGAGGTGCGGGATTGCCAAAACTGTTGTCCAGAGGGCTGAGGAAGGGTTGTTGAGGTGGTTCGGACTTGTAGAGAGAATGGAGCGAACAGAGTGACTTCAAGAGTGTATCAGTCTGTAGTGGAAGGAAGGCGGGGTGGGGGTCGGCCTAGGAAAGGTTGGGGAGGGGAAAAGGGAGGTTTTGTGTGCAAGGGGCTTGGACTTCCAGCAGGCATGCGTGAGCGTGTTTGATAGGAATGAATGGAGACAAATGGTTTTTAATACTTGACGTGCTGTTGGAGTGTGAGCAAAGTAACATTTATGAAGGGGTTCAGGGAAACCCGGCAGGCCGGACTTGAGTCCTGGAGATGGGAAGTACAGTGCCTGCACTCTGAAGGAGGGGTGTTAATTTTTGGCAGTTTAAAAACTGTAGTGTAAAGCACCCTTCTGGCAAGACAGTGATGGAGTGAATGATGGTGAAAGTTTTTCTTTTTCGTGCCACCCTGCCTTGGTGGGAATGGGCCCAGTGTGATAATAATATTTTTATTTTTTATTATCACACTGGCCGATTCCCACCAAGGCAGGGTGGCCCGAAAAAGAAAACTTTCACCATCATTAAACTCCATCACTGTCTTGCCAGAAGGGTGCTTTACACTACAGTTTTTAAACTGCAACATTAACACCCCTCCTTCAGAGTGCAGGCACTGTACTTCCCCTCTCCAGGACTCAAGTCCGGCCTGCCGTTTTCCCTGAATTTCCCCTTCATAAATGTTACTTTGCTCACACTCCAACAGCACGTCAAGTATTAAAAACATTTGTCTCCATTCACTCCTATCAAACACGCTCCCGCATGCCTGCTGGAAGTCCAAGCCCCCCGCACACCCAAAAACCCCCTTTACCCCCTCCCTCCAACCCTTCCTAGGCGAACCCCCACCCCGCCTTCCTTCCACTACAGACTGATTTCACTCTTGAAGTCATTCTGTTTCGCTCCATTCTCTCTACATGTCCGAACCACCTCAACAACCCTTCCTCACCCTCTGGACAACAGTTTTGGTAATCCCGCACCTCCTCCTAACTTCCAAATACGAATTCTCTGCATTATTCACACCACACATTGCCCTCAGACATGACATCTCCACTCCCTCCAGCCTTCTCCTCGCTGCAACATTCATCACCCACGCTTCACACCCATATAAGAGCGTTTTTTAAAACTATACTCTCATACATTCCCTTTTTTGCCTCCAAGGACAAAGTTCTTTGCCCTCCACAGACTCCTAAGTGCACCACTCACTCTTTTTCCCTCATCAATTCTATGATTCACCTATCTTTCATAGACCCATCCGCTGACACGCCCAAACTCCCAAATATCTGAATACGTTCCCCTCCTCCATACTCTCTCCCCCCCAATCTGATATTCAATCTTTCATCACCTAATCTTTTTGTTATCCTCATAACTTACTCTTTCCTGTATTCACCTTTAATTTTCTTCTTTTGCACACCCTACCAAATTCATCCACCAATCTCTGCAACTTCTCTTCAGAATCTCCCAAGAGCACAGTGTCATCAGCAAAGAGCAGCTGTGACAACTCCCACTTTGTGTGTGATTCTTTATCTTTTAACTCCACGTCTCTTGCCAAGACCCTCGCATTTACTTCTCTTACAACCCCATCTATAATAATAATAATAATAATAATAGTACGCCTAAATTCTAGCGCCCTCAAATCTAGTGAGAGAAAGCTGGTAGGCCTACATATGAAAGAATGGGTCTATATGGTCAGTGTGCACAGTGTAAAAAAAAATCCTGCAGCACACAGTGCGTAATGAGAAAAAAAAAACTTTGACCGTGTTTTTGGAATAAAACAGCGACTTTGCACTGTATTTACGTATGGTATTTATTGTTGTATTCTAGTTTTCTTGGTCTCATTTTATAGAATGGAAGACATATTACAGAAATTGAGATGATTTTGACTGGTTTTACAATGAAAAGTACCTTGAAATTGAGCAGGAATGTTCGATTTTTACCAAAGTTCAAAAGTAAACAAATCATGCCAAGTGTCCAATACACGTCAACTGGTGAGTCTGATATTCTTTCACAAGTGCACTGATATTATTTATACCATTTCTACACTAATGCAGTAGTCTGCATAACAGTAAATCTTCTAATTTTTGTAAGAATAAAAATTCAAAGTGGA